GGATTTCCAAATGACCTAAAATCCCAACCCTTTTCGGGGGCTAAGTACCTCTGATCACAAATAGGTCCAAAGAAGAATGAAAAGAAGCCCAAAAAAATAAAACAAAAGAACATAACCTCCGATACGATGAACATAATAAAACCATATCTAGCTATGATCATGTCATCCCTACCCTTTTATTCTCCATAAAGGGGGCGGCGGGAGAGGATAAGAAATAAATAGCAGGTTCTTAGAATTTGCCTCTTTATATATTACATATGAAACGATAGACAACACCAATGGTTGTCTGACGTTATGGGGTAAAATCGGGATCTCTATCCCGAGGGTGGGGGATAGGCAAGTACCACTTTTAATACGAGTATGAGGCGAGATAAGATAGGTCTAGCAAAGTATCTGGATAATTTTGAGTCTACTATATATACACACACACACACATATATATATATAACATCAAGGTATACTATCGTTTGATTTTACTCAAGATACGATAGAAGATATGTATGACAAAGTATTTTCATAAATTAGAGGTTAGAGAATTAGGGATTAGAGTTCACCTATTAGAGGTTATGGTATAGTATCATGCTCCAAAAAACTCCGGAGTCCAAATAGTAAAACTCAATGGTCGTATGGTAGTGTGAACGGAAGAGTATAGTGTACTCCTGGCGCACGCTAGCTTGAACTATGTGTGTGTGTGGGGGGGGTTAAGGTTGGCGTACGCTAAATATTAGTGTTTTGGTTGACAAATGTTGACATAAGTTCTAAATGGGACGTGACATCGACATAATATATGATTAGAAAACCGAAGCATCAGAAGTGAGTGTGCTAAATATTAGAAATTTTGAATATAGACATACTACAAACTCTTTTATGAATCAAGAACAAAAAATATTTAGAAGATCCAAAATTATTTAAACATGTGAATAAGTTAATAAATATAAATTAATAAATAAATCTCTCCGGCCAACGGGCCGGGTAAAAAGCTAGTACATTTTAAAGAGTTTGATTTGCTCCATTTCAGATTTACTGCAACGAGAGTGAAAGTAGGAAGGGTATTTTTGTCTACACAGTCATTTTTTTTATTTCATATAAAAAGATATGAATGCTAGGATTTGAACCATGGTCCCTTCCACTAAAGACAAGAATTCTAACGAATTAGACTAGAAACATTTGTTGTACTTAATTAATACAAAATATAGAGGAAGTTAAAATTATGAAAAACAAAGTACTTTTCTATCACAGTTAGTTAGCCCGCTAAGTCTCCTGTAAGTATTTTGTGGAGTTTGATACTTATATTTTCATATTTTAATAATTAATTTATAATATTTTCTAACTTATAAATGAAGGATAATCTTAAAATCTCAACACAAATATCATTGGTTGGAATATTGCGCATTGAATTGAAGTGTTGAATGAAGTGTTCAATGACGATATAAGGACACTGGTACCATACATTTCAAGATAAATAAAAATGACAACCACCGATAACCAATTATCTCGACAGTCTATGCTAAAATTTGAAATTGTTTAATCATTCAATTTGAATGATAGTTTAGTCAAATCAAGTAAATAATTCACGATTGTGTATGAACAAAAATAAAAACATATGTATTGTATTATGAAAAATGTATTTACTTTAACAATTAAAAAAAATAATCAAAACTTCCATACGACCCCTTATTGAATTTTTATCAGCATGATGCAATGTTCAAGCTAAGTTCCAAGTATTAACACCAGTATATAGTATTCATCATAGTTAACTATTTCAATATCCACAGCTAACTATTAATGGTTACTTGCTTTCTCTTAGAGAGTTTAATGTAACACTCTCATGACTAGCTATGCTCTAAGCATTTGTTTTCTTTTTCACAATATCATTTGCAGTTATTTATTAAATCAACTTTTTTTCTAGCTTTCAATTCCTAATTATTCACTTCTTCATACCAACTTATGAGAATGCTAAATATATTTTTCATGTCTAATCTATTAAACATAAATGTTGCTTATCACTTAAATTCAATGGTATCAATGTTAGGTTTGATGTCACCAACATATTCTCCCAATTTCTCCTAAAAGCATAATATATTGCGCTTGATATCATAGTTTCGTTAGGTAAAGTTCAACAAACTCAATCAATATTCGAACTCTTCGAAATAGCTATCTACATGCGAATATGAAGTACTAAGTAGCTAAAAATCTACTTGACTTAGTACAATCTTTTGCGCTATCGATTAAAAATTCAATACATGATTATCTTAGTACAATTTAGTCATACTAATTGTGCAATAGGGGACATCTTATCAAAATCTTAAATAAAGACTCTTTGATTGATCGTTTTATTGGTGTAATCAATTATACCAAAATAGTAGTGATCAAATTTATAAGATGCACTCAAAGTTTGCTATAATTATTGAGGTTCAGCAGCACGTTAGGCGTACGACGGTCATTGGGCATTTGTCTATCTCTTAGCTCGCCTAGACATGCTTAGACATTATAATAAAAATATCAAATTTAATAATAATGAATAAAAAAACGGTTCTGAAGCAATTTCATACTTTAGTTCAAATGATTTAACAACAAACGAAATAACTCTCAAGTTTATAAATTATTTTCTTTTACCAAATGATATAATTAATTCATTCATGAGCTGAAATAGCTAATTATAAGCACTTCAAATTTAAGTTAAAACTCTATATGATGCAATTGTTTGACGAAATGGGTTTTATAATAGAGTGGTTCTATCGAGAGAGGTCTCTAAGAAACATGGTTTACTTTATTATTCCTTAGGTGGATATAATATCTATCTTCATCGTTACTTTTACATTGGATTCAATTTAGTATACTTTTTCCTTCAGATAGATTTGTTTATGATGTTCTGGGATATAATATATCATTATATATGATGGTGTACGATATTAATTCCTCTCATTTTAGGTTCAAATTGATGCATTTTCCCCTTAACCGTTCCCTTTTATTGGTTAATAATTTTTATGATATTTTTCACTTTGAAATAACGTGAGCGGAATCTATACACAGCAATTTGTGTTTTTTCGCTTCCTCTTCTCTTGGTTAGATATTGTGTCCATATTGATTCCTATGTTGATTATCGAATTACTACTTTTTTGTTCTTTTTTCTGATGCAAGATATGATTTTATGTTTGATAATATAGATTTATTTTGCAAGCATGTGGATGCTTGAGATTAGGTTGTCAACCCCTGGGTCGACCCACTTTGACCCTGACCCGGTGAGAAAAATGGGCTGCACGCACCCGCCGAGTCGACCGATACAAGGTATCGGGTTAGAGGTCAAATTGTGTCATTTTTTCTATGGTTTGCGAAATGCGCCTATTTTCCGATTTTCTTTTCGCCTAACTCAATCTTTGGAATCCTAAGTTGAACATTTGAATATTGTTGTTATATAATTGTGTGTGAATTTTCACTATATGTTGGATCTAAGTACGACATGTTATTTTATTGTTGTTACTTCAATCCTCAATGTTTACTACACATACACATGAAAATCAAACTCTCCCGGCTAAGAGGCCGGGCCATAATCTACAAAATCCTATAAGCGAATGTCAAAATAGAGCATCTGCCACGTCACCCTTTGCTGAAAGCGCCGCACACTTCGGAGGGGTTTTATTGTCATTCTAAACCTTCTCCTCTTCAATTTTTCTCTTCTGATCTGTCCCCACTCCCCAGTCGCTTATTGTCTTTTCCCCCGGTAACCACCACGATTCATTGCTTCTTTCTCCGTCGCCTATAATTCTTTTCTCCTTCTCCCCCATCGCAGCACGCTGGTCGCCTCCACTCTTAATTACGCCAGAGTAGTCCAACAACCACTTTATCTTAGCGGCGCTCAACTCCTTGCATCCAACTTCCGTCGGCTCCTGCTCCGTGGTCTACTCGATCAGATTGCTCTGGTGGTTCATGACCCAGGTAGTATCAGTAACAGTTGCAGCGGCAGCCACTTGAGATTGAATCAACTCCGAGGACTCATGTAGCGCCAATCCTCGCCCCGCCTTCTGTAATCGGCCCCAATCGCGGAGAGGAGTAATCGGGACGCCAAGCATTGAATCTGATGCGGATTTGCCTAGGGTTTCAGGGGAAGCAGCGTACAATCCAAAGAGTCAGAGATGCTTAAAAGACTAGGACTTTGCATGTTAGAGTTGTGTTTCTAAGTTCTATAGAATTTGGATGCGTATGAGATTCTTTGTAACCGTTGTGTTTCTTAGCATATATGATTGAGGGCTCTCTCGAAGCTTTGCTTTATTCTATTGTTGTTGTAAAAGTCATTGAATCTCTTGATTGAAATCTGGGTACAGGAAAGGGGCATCAACCTCGGTGAAGATTTTGATGGAGATGAGAAGGCGAGGTATTCTACAAGCATGAGAGGCAGGGACGTAGATGATTCCACTGCTTTGGTTGTTTACAATTTTCCATTTATGTTTTGTTGGTGGGGTTCTTCAAAGTTGGGGTGTAGCACTGTGTGGTATTCTTCTGGTTGGGGCTTACATTTCCCCATTCTCATTACCAGGTTGGATTTAGGATTGCTATTGGCCCGATTTTTTGCGTTTAGGATTTGTATTGGCTGGCTGTTTAGCTTTCAATCTAGGAGAAGCTGAGGGTTAGAGTGAGTCTAGAGGATTAGAGTGAATAGGCTTGGATCACTTAAAAGTATCATGCACTAGAAGAAGCAAATGGAAATCGGCGGCGACATTTCAGCTCCTGATTTTGTCAAAGTGGCCAAGGCTACTTGGATTTCTTATGGGTCTCACTGTCTTGGGACTTGAGCTTCTAGAGAGGCTGACCATTCTTGAGGAAACCATGATGGGAACCAGTTAGCTTCCAATTAAGGAGAATCACTGTCTGACGTATTCGAAATCTTGGCTGGTCTGCTGGATGAGGGGTCAAGATTTGTCAAGACCGCTACTTTGACTATGAAGGGTTCTAATGACATCAAGAATCTTCCTATGTGTAAAGAACCCTACAAGGATCTTGAGGAGGCAGATGAGGAGAAAGATTATGACTGCGGCGAAGAAGACGAGGAGGAAGATCAAACTCTATCGCTGTCCAAAGATTTCCATTGCTCAGCTGAATGATTTCGAAACCATGGAGGCACACACTGTAAGGGTTTTTTCCTTTTTAACTGGCAGCCTTATTGCCCGTCTAATTTTCCAAATATAAATTTTTTTACTGAATTCCAAGAATAAGTGTTTGTGATCGAAGGAAAAGTGATTCAAGTATGCCCTAATTGTTGCTACATGGGGGGCGTTGTATTTCCTTGCAAGGTGGAAGAGGATCCAGAAGAGTACTTTTGTGGACACTATAAGACCACATCTTCCATTGCTAAAGCCAAGTAAGTTCAAAATCGGAATCTTGCTTTGTGTGTTATTTGAAATTAGGATGTTAATTGATGATAGGGAGTTTGCTGCATTTGATTCCTTTTCTCTAGAATTAGAGTGAAGCTCCAAGTGCAAGATGATACTAGAGAAGCTGATTTTGCCACTTTAGATCATGAAGGTGTGCGCTTTTTCAGAGTGATGGCTGATGTATTATTCCAGTCAAATCAACGAAACAAAGAACCCATTCCATTGCACATCCAATAAGTTGTTAACATGACACTAAAGCTTCATGTTCGCCTCACTCAATTCAATTTCTTGAATCCTCAAGCTGTGAATAATGTGGTTAACGTTGATCATGACCCTCTTCAGGTAATGGATTCTGCAAATAATGCAATTTACCTAAAGGGTACCAGATTATTTTTGTGGTTTTCGGCTCTTTGATTTTCTCTAATTTGATTGCAGCAACTACTAAGATTCTTGAGCATGGGAGCCTTGGAGAATCAACCTCTTGCGGGTTGAAAAGAAAGCATGCTGATGCCGCTGACCCTGTGGAGGAATACTATTGCTGTAGATTTTGTGACCTTAAGAGCCACAACTTGCAGCTTCTACTTAGTATTCTATTTTCATTTAGTTTAAGCTTGAGACTCTGTTTCTAGGTTGTTTCCTTATATATTGTATTTTTTCTTTAGTGTCAACTGTGGAATACAGTAGTGTTGTTTGGCTGCAGCCTTTTCTCATTTGTTTAATAGTTTTTTCCTTATGAGATGTCATCTTTTCCAATCTCAAGGTTAATTGAGCCCTCCAAAATCATTTTCGGGTTTAATGGAGTATGAATATAGCTTTGTATGCTATGACTGATATAATGCTTATCAAAAGCTTTGCTTTTGTGGCTGTGTTTATTATTATACAAAGACATTAGGAATTTGATCTTGAAAATAATATGGATATGTTCTGTTGATGAAGTCAAGTCTGTGTATAACTTTAATCAGCATCTATTTGAATTTCCTTTTTCAATGATGCTGCAATTTTTCGGCATATTGCTTCAGGACGTGTTTTAAGTTATGTTTCAGTTTTAGTTTTCTGGATTTCTTTCTGAATTTGCTATGTTACCCAACTTCTATGCCTTTCAACATGATGCATTATAGAGATTAATCATCTGAATTATGAACGTTCAAATTGCTTGAATCGTATTGCTGGAGTATTTTATAATTACCCGGCCAACGGGCCGGGCCCGATGCTAGTCTAGTAAAAGATAGTAGAGTTTTACTAGGTTTTCTCCATTTAAAAATCTCTGACCTCCCCTTAATTTTCGGTAAGAGTATTTTCGTCCAAATTATATTCTAAAAAACTGCTTCATTCTGCCGGTAGCTAATAAGTAGTAATTGATATTGGGCCGGTGGCCCATCATCATCTTATTGTTTGAGAATTGAAGTCCTTAAACCCATAACAAAACAAAAGTCCCACTAATTTTTAAAACTTTTTTCATGACGTATCCACACCTTTTGGAAGCGGATCAGATTAGTAACTCTATGATCAGTAACCATGAGCAACCTGTCCACATCAATATGAAATGATATCTTCTCTCTCCTGAAAAATCTTTTATCTTTTCCCCTTTAATCTTTAATTGATGATTTCTCTCTCGTTTTAAATCGAAATTTTTTTTCTACAGATAAATCATATTAAATGTGCTCTTTAAACTGATATACACTTTAATATATTTTTAGTACAAAAAAAATTGAATAATTTTTTACCAGTCATTACCATATGGTATGCTCCAATTTAATACCATATGGTAAGAAAGCGTACCATAATGGTATGAACATACCAATATGGTAAGAAGGTTGAATACATGATAGTAGGAGTATATTAACTGTCATTTACGATTTTCATCATTGTTTACTACAAGTTACCACTCACATACCATAGTGGTAAAGTATGGTAATTTTTTATCCAGTATTTTTTTCACCTAGAAATTTATAGATCATGATGAACTCGTTCCTTCTGAGCAAACATTTTAAAAAACGACTTAAAAACGAAGAAGTTAACATATGGTATGTAGTTGGTAAAAAAAATAAAATGCCTTTAATTGAGAACCCTTAGATCTGAATTTTTTGAACCCACTTAAATCTAAAGATCCATATTTAGTTACTCATAGGTTAGTAACCATTGGTTACTGACCCTATCCTGTCCCCTCCCCACCCGGAACGGATCAGGTCAGTAACCTTATAGTGAGTAACTATGAGTAACCCGCCCACATCAGCATGACATCAGCATCCTCTCTCTCCTGGAAAGCCTTTCATTTTCCTCTCCTTAATCTTTGATGCACGATTTCTCACTCGTTTTAAGTCGAAATTTAATTTTTTTGCACAGTTAGATCAGATTAATTGTGCTCTTCAAAATGATATCCACTTTGATATATTTTTATAACAAAAAAAATTGAGCCATTTTTCACCAGTCTATACCATATGGTATTGACTGGTATTGAAATAAGAGCATACCTATGGTTTGAAAAGCGTACCATGGTGGTATGACACAAACCAAAACTGTAGGATGGTTGAAAACATGATAGTAGAAGTATATTAATTGTCATTTACGACTTTTAACATTATATACCATAAGATACCATAAAATACCACCCCGTACCAGGGTGGTATTGTATGGTATTGTGTGGTATTTTTTGGTATTGCAATTTGTTCACCCGGAAATTTGTAGATCCAATAGATCATGATGAACTCGTCCCTGATTTGCAAACGTTTTCAAAAACGAATGAAAAACGAAGAAGATATCATATGGTAAGCAGTTGGTACCGAGAGGCCATAATTTTTTTTCCTCAAAAATATTGAAAATTGATCTCATTTTGTAGAGCACGATGAACTCGTTCCATCTTATGCACCCATCAATAACCAAATGTGGACCCTTCATTTAGAAAATCCAAATCTAAGGATCGAGAATTAAATGTCATTTTTATTTTCACTAGCTTTCTTAATTGACTCATATCTTTTTTCGTTTTAACTTGGATTTTAATTTTTTTTTGCACAGATGGAACGAGTTCATCGTGCTCTACAAAATGAGATCAATTTTCAATATTTTTTGAGGAAAAAAAAATTATGGCCTCTCGGTACCAACTGCATACCATATGGTATCTTCTTCGTTTTTCATTCGTTTTTTAAAACGTTTGCACAGCAGGGACGAGTTCATCATGATCTATTGGATCTACAAATTTCTGGGTGAACAAATTTCTGGGTGAACAAATTACAAGACAAGAAAATACTACACAATACCATACAATACCACCCTGGTACGGGGTGGTATCTTATGGTATACAATGTTAAAAGTCGTAAATGACAATTAATATACTTCTATTATCATGTATTCAACCATCCTACAGTTTTGGTTTGTGTCATACCACCATGGTACGCTTTTCAAACCATAGGTATGCTCTTATTTCAATACCAGTCAATACCATATGGTATAGACTGGTATAAAATGACTCAATTTTTTTTGTTCGAAAAATATATCAAAGTGGATATCATTTTGAAGAGCACAATTAATATGATCTAACTGTGCAAAAAAATTAAATTTCGACTTAAAACGAGTGAGAAATCGTCCGTCAAAGATTAAGGAGGGAAAAATTAAAGGCTTTCCAGGAGAGAGAGGATGCTGATGTCATTCTGATGTGGGCGGGTTACTCATAATTACTCACCATAAGGTTACTGACCTGATCCGTTCCCTCCACGCAGCTAACCCAACCCTTCATTCTTTCTTTTTATTACTTTTCTTTTACTTTTATCAAAATCTTGCAAATACTTTCTTCCTTACTAGTTTGTCAACCCGGTTTAGCCCGTTGATCCGACTAAGCTAGCGAGTTGAATGTTAATGGGTCGATCGGATTAGCCCAATTTAATGCAAATATATAAATAAATTTATCATATCATACATACATAAATTATATAAAAGGTCATCTAGCACATAAATAATAACATATGACACAACTAAATATTGACATACTTTTATTATAATCACTCTAATTCAATAGTGAAAATTTATTATTACCCCCTCATCTCACTCCTAAACGGCCTCCTTCTTCCACTCCTATCTCCGCCACCAACAGACCCTATACTCAATATTTTGTTTAATCATCCCATTGTTAGAGTTAGTCAATAGAGTTGTAATACGACATTGATGGAGAAGTAAAGTATAAAGATGGAGTCTTTTGGCAGTTTAATTAATTCATTAAACGTTTGAATTTTGTGAAAAGAAGTGTCTTTCCATAAAGGTAACTCCCTTTTTTCTGTGAAAGGATGTGTCCTTTCGGGAAAGGTAACTACCTTTTATGTGAAAGGATGTGTCTCTTCGGAAGGTAACTTCCAGTTTCACTACTATAAATAGATGGCTGCCATAACTCTTTTAATAACGAGAGATTACTTCTTCTTCCGTTTTCCTTCTCTATTTCATAACCACAGAAGTCTGCAAGATTGCTGCTTCCAGACTTAGAATTGAAGGGACTCCTGGGGGTGGTTTGCTCGAGCCTACCAGCAATTTGTAGTGGGGGCAAATAACACTCTAAGGAGAGTGATTAATCACGCCTTCAATCCGATTCTCTCCATACCGTTTCCCTGACAATCTTTGGTGTCAAGAGTGGGATGATATACTATATACATATGTATATACATGTTGGTTCTGCTTCTGTCGTTACAAAGAAAGGAAGTGTTGTTTCTCGTATCAAAGTCTATGTTTGTGGAAGTATACGAGTAACTGGTTTTTTTTTATGTGTCATGCAAGTACTCTTCATGCATGCGAAGTGATACCCCAAAAGTGGTAATGAATTGGTTTTTCTAAGCAAAAAAAAAAAAAAAAAAATTGCCATGTTTGTTTTTACATCAAGTTAAATTTTATTGACATTCAACTTGGATGGAAAGTGTTTTGTCCAGAAATTGCAGTGGTCGTCACTATCGTTTGGAAATAATGTAGGGAAGATTTTATGTTGTTTTTCTTTGACCACTGTTTGTTCCCACTGCTTATCGGGGATAAAGGAAAATTCTAATGCCATGCCGTCATGCGGATGGTACTTTGGTTCTCGAAGGATTTGAGAAAGAATTGGCAATCAATTGATGTTTGATAAACCAATTCTGTGCGGATAAATGATATCAAATACTTAGTGTGGTATTTGAGATGAGAACAAAATCATAATTTATATTATGAGAAGATTTTTTAAAAAAAAATCAATTGTGTATGAATTTGGAAGAATTCACATTGAATTCTTGAAACAAATTTTGTTACCAAAATTTGTATGAGTTTCAATTTTGAGTTGTGATCTTGAAGTAAATTGAAATAATGGTGAAAAGTGTTTCCCCGACATGGTAATTTGTTTATCGTGTATTGGTTTATGACTTCATGTTTCATATGTCATGAGGGCAAGGAAAATGAAACTAAGATGGATCCTTATAGGGATTGAAAAAGCTTGCCAAAGGATGGTGATCATCAAAATAATCATTGCCAGAATTGTTTATGGTATATGTACACTATACTATTGGAAAACAATTTGGCATGAGAGCTCAATTGAGATGGTCGTATTAAACTTAAAGTCTGAATTACTTATGGTATATTTATGAAGTGCATACCATTGGTAAGTAATTAGACCATTGATTTAGAATATTCATTTGAATTGCTTGTGGTATGTTAAGTTACCTT